CAGAATACAAAAGGACACAGTGGCTTCAAAGGTCACCGGGCAGAAAAAAACCTGCTGTCACACCATAATCATATACAAATTAAAAGCATTCCCCTGGAATGCAGTGAGCTTGATTCTGCAATCTTTATCCAGACAAAACTTGCAGAGATATCACACAGATAACACACAGGAAGATTTAGGGTGTGGCTGGGTAAGGCAGAGCTTTCAGCAAGCCACCTGCATACCGGGCAGGGAGAGAGACTGTACGTCTCACACCTTTTTGGTTCTACTACTTTAAGTAATTTTGTATATTTGGAGACATGATTGCTAATACCTGCCTGTGCTTCCAAAATACCTTGATGAAGTCTGCAAGGCTGTGAGCAAAAATCAATCTGCAATAAACAAAGTCTATCAACTGATCAACTGTGTGTGACAACAGATGTGGCACAAAGAGTAGGAGTTGTTAATGGCCATGCCAACGCTAAGTTCTGGGAACCACTGTGTTTAAAAGAAACAAGAAAAACCAAAACAAACAAAACAAAAAAAATCAATGCCACATTACTAAAACACTATTCACTGCAAAAGCAATGTTACTTTTCAGAACAGTTAAAAGTCTCCTTAACATCAGAATGTATTAGTGACCATGGCAAGAGTTATCTCCATTTTTACACACAACTGAGACAAAAGTGCAAGGAATTTGCCTCTCGTCAAACACAAGAAGCCTAGAAATTAGTTTTAAAATGGTAAGTTTGTTCTGTGACAATTTTGCTGTTGAAATGCTTTAAAAAAAATACAGCCACAAGAACAAGCCATTTCTACCTCTGATGAAATATCAGCTCATATAGTTTCACACTTCGTGTATTAGTAAGCCAACATTTCCTGGGACCATCTGATCTTACCATGAGAAGAAAACTAATTTATTTCACATATTCACAAAAACAATGAGCTTTACTTTTCACATTCTGCAGTCAAGGGCATGAAATTTTATCTGAAGACTCCACATAAACATTAGAAGTCAGAGTGCTGAAAAACACCTGCAAATACTATCAAATTCTAAAAAGAATAGCACATTTAAGATTAAACGGCCATTAAAAATATCACTTACACGCCACTTAGCACATTTATAGACTGTGTCCTCAGCCCATATCCAGTGTCTTTCAAATTGGAAATAATTCCTAACACATTAATATTGGAACCCTTTGGTCCAAAGTCTTTTTCACTGTACATTATCATATGGGAGCTTGTGAAGTCCTGTTAAAACAAAGAGAAGCATCATAAGGAAAATGCAACATGACGTCTCAGTGCACTCAGGAGATGTCTACTAAATGTCTTGCAACTTACGCCAACAATCGGTCGCAATGACTGCAACTCTTCATCATAGCCACCCCAGTCTGTCCAATCCCGATACGCTCCTTCTTCCAGCAAATACTGATGGCCTTCAAACCCAGGCTTCTCATAAGCGACCCAACTAAATAACAACAACAGAGTCTGCATGTGAAAATGGAGAACTGCTACTCCATATTGTTACAGAGCAGATATAGGTGTGTGAAATTTGTTCTTTTGCTGTGAATATTTACAAATTTAAGCCAGGCATATATCTAAACCCAAAACCTAGGAAAACAGAAAAATTAAACAGGTATTGAATTTGTCCAGTGGAATTTCCAATCTATGGCATTACCACTTCTCCTGAAGGGGAAATATTGCTGGTGTTTTCCCACACTTACACTCCTCCCAGTACTTTCATGGATCTCACTGATGTAAGTGGAAGTCTTGTCTTTTCTTCTGATTCTTTGTCATCAAGCATAAAGATTTCTGATTCTAATTCCACATGTCTCCCTTCAAAGAAAGGCTTCTCATAAATGATTACCTGTAGCAGAAATGAAGTAAAAGAAAGGTTGCAGAGAGCATGATAAATTCTGACAACAGTTTCTTTTGCATGGGCACATATAGGGAGAAGGCAAGATCATGAAAATAATTAGTGGGATATCTCTATTCCCTTCAAGAGGTCTTTCCCTTTGAGATGCAACATAAGGGCTTGAATGTTCATTACCCACCTGTGTTATCCAGGTGGCTGTTAATACGCATGTGACGGATGCATAAATGTGACAGAAGTTGCAGTTTCATGGTGTGGTCACATACAGCAGGACCAGCCACTAAACCATCACTGGTCGGTACATGATCAAGATAAATTTATCTACCCATGTGTAGTTCATGTATTATAAAATACATTTGGGCAATCAAATAAATATTAACTTTTACCTTTGGCTCTCCACTGAATTCAACTTTGCGACCACCCTATTAAAAAGAAAAGGGGAGGGGGGAGAAGAAAAAATATAAGTTGTCTATACTTACTTAGACAACTTGCAGACAACTATAAGTCATCAACTCTTCACAAAAAGACAGAATTAAGTTGAAACTTGCCTTGAAGAACACAGGTGGCCATAAGAAGATTAAAGGCAGAAATGGATGCAATCAAATGTTAAAAGTTCAAGAATTTCATAGACTAAAAATTTTAAAGACTTAACATTTTTGTGAGACTTGAAAAATCTAGCCACCTCAATACATTATTTCTAACATCCCAACACAGGTCGTGTAACCTGCAAGGAATAACAGTACATTACCATTTTCAAGGGCCTCATGGACCTGATGTAGGCTTCCTTCTTCTCCCAGAATGCTAAATTAGGATATTCACCAGGCTCCAACATTAAAGGGACCCCCTGGAAACCAGGTTCTTCATAAATTAGCCATCTAAAATAAGGAGGAGAGGAAAGCAAAAGGTAAAAACCCTAGAACATTTCTGAACAGTGAAGAACAAGACAATGTGCTTCCTTCAGAAAAGACACCGTTGTACCCTTAATAAAACTCTGTTTCTTTGACTTTACCATCAAAATTGCCAACTACAAGCTGGCGTACTGGCAAACTTCTGTGTCTGTGCAAGAATCACCAACTGCATGTGTTTTAACAGGTTAAAAAATAAAAATCAGTACAATGAACAGACAGTAAAGGATTTGACCCTGTCTTATCTGGAGGCAACACAAATTTTACCCCGAAGTTTCAAGACTTAAGGTTACTGTGTATTATTTTTGAATAGTTTTAAAATATGCAGAACCAATTTTCAAGAAGTTGAAAGATCTTTACTAACCTAGACCTGGATTTGTTGCAAAGTCTGTTCAATAGAGAACTCTAAACTCACATTATTTATTAATACATAGAAGAACCCATAGAAAAACCCAACGACTCCTTAGAAATCTACTTCCTCGTGGTTTGTATCTGCTAGTAAGTCTGCTGTGAAAGACTAATTTTTAAAATAAATAATTTTTAAAATTCCTGACTGGGACAGCAACAGTAGTTTTTCAAGGCTTTTTCAAGAAAATCTTAACCAGTAATCACTCACTGGAAACAAAGCAGCGTACTGCTGATCTCTGCACAGAGGATGGTGATGTATTTCTTCCAGTTAAATTTACTGATGTCTCAGAAGTACAGCATGGAGCAGTGTAAAACACATACTAAACAGGAACACTTTATGCAGCCAACCCTTTCATTGTGTAAGGATCATAAGGTATAAATCTGGTGATACGGGAAAGATCTTAAAATAATCCATCACTCTACCATGCTTAAAAGGCAGATTCCAAGCTGATGTAAACTGGCACACGTTGGCACAGTTTCACTGCAGATATATGGTTCCAAGAAACAAACAAGAAGCTTTAGTTTTATTGTTGTCTATAGCCTAATGTTTGATATATTGTGAGTCCTATAATAGAACTGCTCAGTAAGGCCTCAACTTCACTGCAAGAAGAGACGGCACTGGAGACCAAGGAGAGAGTACAATCAGAAGATAAAGGTGCAGTGACTCATTTCTGTTGGCAGCTTTTAGTAAACAGCAATTAAGCACAAACACTGGGAAACCTTAAGAAGATACAACCACACCCACACAGCAAGGTGACTCAGAATCAGAGCCTCCCTCAACTGCCAATATAGTGAACTATGTCATGCCTGTAAACTAAAGGAAAGAAAAAACCCTGCAACATGCAAAAAAAGCAGCAGCAATTTACTGAATTTCTCATCCGAGCAACTGGCAGAAGCAACTTCTTTCTATATTGGACTAGTGAACTGGTATCTGGGAAAGATTATTTTCCAGATGTTTATTTTGCTTCCTAGTGCAAATATTAGTCTGCCTGCCCTCAAGGGATTCAAATGCAACAGAGAGAAATTAAGACTGTAAGAGTTTATAGATTTAGTGAAAAAAAGTGCTCTCACACTGATGCAAAACAAGGACCAGTTTGAAATCTGAGGGATGTGCACAGGCCCTGCTTCCTTTCGATAAAATTTTGTTATTTCACTATTTACGGAATGCTTTTAAGTGAGGGACAGAAATAAACTGGAGAGGTAGATTAAGTCAATTAATAACCAACCTCCGAATAACATATCTGATTTCATTACTCTTGGCAGACATGTCATTTGGATTAAGCTTGCAGGTCAACAGGAATAAGCTCCTGTCAGAGAACCATCTACTTAGATACCTTAAAGTGTTCCTATACATCCGAGTGCTTTATTTTTCCCCCAATCAAGGTGTAAAGACTTAATCAGAAAAAATACCCTTTACCTAGCAACTAAAATGCCCTATCATGTGGTATATTCTAACACATCTTTGCAATGGTATGTAATAACTGTTTTCAGTTGGGCACTTTACTAAATAGCCTATTTGTAGCAAGGCAAATGCTATCAGTGCCCAAACACGACTTGGCCAACAGATAGCATCCAGAGTGTGTACACCCTGTAAAACGTTCTGCAGGACCCAACATCATTGAAAGTGGTTCCACTCTCTCACTTCTTCTGAAAGCAGCCTCCCTCTTCTGCATACATTTCCCAGTACCAGTCTGAGGGATATTTTCAGTACCAATTTACAACTTTGTTTATTAAGTTATCAAAATTACCATCGGTACAGTGTCTGGATTATTCCTTAGAGGTCTCCCTTCTCATAAAAGCTTGCTTAGTTCATGACATACATTACACTCCTAACTCATATGGCTAGGTATTTTCAGGTGACATAACATACATGTCCTAAACATCACCATAAAAACACTAATTAAAATGCACTGTGAAATACAAGAATGCTTTCCAGAGTCCACACATGACACTAAGTCTTATTTTGTAACACAAGGGCTTGAAAATGTTCTTCTTTTAGTACAAAGATTTCAAGTTCAGAGGAAAGCAAGTAGGAAATGTGGTCTTATTGTAACAGTTCATCCCCCCACTCTCATTTATGATAAGTTTGCTTGAATGAGAAAGAGTAGGAGAGGCAAACTCATTTCTTTGCTACAAATACACAAGGGTTACTCTGTCTTTACTACATGTAAGCAGAAGAAAAACTGGCTCTAACACAACACATTTTAAGAGGTCAGCCTCTCCAAGGGTGAAGCATTACAACGATGTACTAATGCTACTGTCAACAAATACTACCAAAATATAGGACTAGAATAAATACAGCCTCCTTGCATGTCTGATAGGTGTAACCAATGGTTTAAAACAAATTCCTTTCATAGCAGTACACGTTCACACAGAACTACGCACTTACATGCCCCAGTGTACTTTGATAGAACAAGTCTTCTGAGTGGTGCCAAACACCCCTGTTTCTTCAGTGTCGTCAAAAAAGGAAGTCACGATTCCTAACCCTTCAGGTTCTGTATACAAATCAATTCGACAAACCCTGTAATCCTGAAAAATGAAGATTGCCATAATCACTTCATCTGTACTGCGAGTTCTGTAATTAATGTGGATAACTAAATCAGTTTTGAAACACCTGTTTATTTTAAATTGTTTCCCCTCTTGTCAATTACTACTGTTATTAGATGCCTATAATAAAAGTATAACTAGGCCAGTTTGCCTGTTTCTGTTTGGACCAAGACAGTCAGTCAATCTCTAATCAACATTTACGTTGTTTACTTTCTACCATCTAGGAATGCGTCTTCTTTCATCAGTTAACATCTCCTCTAGCAAATTAAATCCCTAACATAACACCAAGCAAGCCACTCTTGAAGAGAACTGCAATTTAAACAAGAATTGTAGTTACAAGCAATACATATTCCTCCTTTTTCCTTCCCTAGTCAAGTAACTTTATAGCTCATGCTTGTTTTGGCAACCTGCAAAAGTAACTACTTAATAGTAGGTTAAAAGTGCATGTAGGAAGGCTGTTCCACCACGTGTGAAACTCCCTGATAAGTTTGCGCATACAGGGATATTTTTTGAGTATCAAACAAGGTTTGGTGTTTGACGCTAAAGTTCCTGGTGAGTGTAAATTTGGTTTAAATTGGGGAGGGACGACACGGGACGGACACAACACCAAACAACAAAACAAAACCACACATCTTTTGAAAATACGAGTCTGTGGAATTATTGATGGTTTTCTGGGATGTTTTTCCTGAGAGACTGACCAGGCCAAAAAGCATATGCTGTACATAGCATTTTGGAGGCTACTCTAATAAAAAATACTAAGTTTTCTTCCCGCCCTACCCTTCCAGTGGATGTTACCATAATCCCCATTGTGCAAAAGCCCCCACATTTATTTTGTGATGAAACAAGAAATTCAACATGGAAGACTGTTTCATGCATTTACAACTCACGTTACACTTGTGTCCTAATACACCTATCACACCTTGTATCAGTATAAAACATGACCAAACATTGAGATCTATAAAAAAATTTCTTTACTTATATTACTTGCCTTAACAACATGTCTTATTGAACCAATCACAGCAGGCTTTAGGGATTTGCATTCATTTTGCTCTTCAGGAGTACCTGCACCCCAAATATCTGTGAGTTCCAGCTCTCCTTCTTCCAGAGGAATAGAGGGGCCTTCAAAATTTGGTTTCTCATAGAGTATCCAGCTTAAAATAAAAAATTCTCAGCTTAATGGTGCTTTATCAAGTGTGATTTTCACAAATCATGCTCCCATTTAACAAATCCTTTCACAAGAAGTATTATTTCCAGACCCTTCCTGCCATCCCAATACAGCTTACCTACCCAACACCAGTGATGCAAGCCATTTCTGGTCTCTGTGATACTTTTAAAAGCAAAGATAAAAACAAAAATGCCTACTGCTGACTCTGTACTTTCATCAAAAACTCCTCCACCTTTTTAAATTGATTATTTGGGGCAGCAAGACTGCTGTCTACAAATACCAAACTTTTGCATGAGATACTAATCAGAACCAATCTGATTGTAGGTCAGAAAATGTTGACACTGAAGACTGCTGCATCATGTATCAACAGACATGCTACCGGATCCTGTGAACAGCAGCCTGGAGTTCCACAGGGGCTGGTATAAATGTGCCACAGCACGGTAAGACTGCTCAGAAGACAAGCACAACTTTATTTTTAACAGCAATTTTTATTTTAACGGCATTTATTTTAATGGCTTTAAAATCCTTTGCTAGCCTTTTAGCCCAATCCAAATACTATGCAAGAACCCATAAAAGGGAGAGGAATCCAAGGGCAGCACAGCTGGACAGAATCTGCCATTTCATCCCACACCTATGCCTGGTCAAATGTTGCACCCCTCCAGATGGTAACACTCGATTTGTCATCAAAATAAGTTTCCCCAGCTCAGAACCCCCTATTAGCAGAGGTAAAACGCTACATTTCTTGCTCATAGATGTCTACGTTACACTGCCATTTGCAAAGCAGACTTACTGTGAATTACATGCTGGTTGTTTCAAAAGATTTTTGGATAGATCAATGATAAAGAGTAAAAATTAATATCTTACCATCCTCTGATGACTTTAACTAAAAGTGTTGGTGATAGAACCCAAGAACTGCAATCCAGAATATCATGGAAAACTTCAATACCCTTTTTTTGATAGTCTGATTCACAGTATATCACCAGCTGTGTAAAAAAAAAAAAACAAACCAACACAAACACAAACAACATATAACTATCTTGCTATGCTTTAAATACAGAGAGGAACAGTAAAGATAATAAAATTGATCTTACCTTGCCGGGTCTGGGATTGATTTTACTTTGTCCATTTCTTGAAAGTGCCTAACAGACAGTGGAGAGAGAAGAGTCACAAAAAAACCCCCAAATCCAAACCAAAAACATATTCAATAAAAGATGCTCAGCTATTAAAAAAGAGCTAGTGAAACAAAATAAAAATTAGTCTGTATAGTAAAAAGCTGATAACACTTCAATTACACTTAATTACTACTGCAATTCCTTCTTCCTCCCCAAGAGCAACATCTTGCCACAAATATACTATTTTACACACTTTTTTTAAACTCTGAATTACCGTATCACTGAAGCCAACTAACCTCAGACTTGAAATTCTTTAAAATCCTGATGATCAGTTTCCTATATATTCTAGGAGTTTCATACCAAGAGACCACTTAAAAAACTGGTACTAATAAAGTTCATGTTCTACCATGATAAAGATATTAGTTAAATGTCTGGTAACCATAAAGCATGAAATAATTTTGAAAGAACATATATGAAAAGACTGAGGAGGCATAATGGCATATACATGTATGAACTAATTCACATAATCCATTGTGTGCTGAACACCTTGTAACAAGACAGGTTTCTTCAAAAAAGCTTGAGACTGTACAGTAAGTGATAGACTAAAAATGCTGAGAACAAATAAAACACATTGATGAATACAAAATCTAAACCAATGTTGAAGTCAGTAGTAAATTACAATATAGAATATATAAGAAAGTTGTGGTTGCAGCACGTCATCTTGAAACAAATAAAGCGCTGCAATTATGTGTTTGGTTTCCTAGCAAGGACAAGAGTGCTCATTCTGGGACAGGGTCCTGCTCTTCTAGGAACTATTAATACAAACAAAAAAACACAAACAGATCCTGCCCCTAAATAGGTTGCAGTCTAAGATAACCAGCAACACATGCAAGGAACTAATGAGGACATATTAGTCAGCACGCAGGGCAGGCAGTGGTCTCAGCTCCTAACCGCCATCAGATTTTTGTAGGCCTCATCAAGACACGTTGAAACATGACTTGTTTTTTAGTATGTGCTTCAATTCCAGTTAGAACTTGCCCTGTGTTTTATGGAATGTCAAAGTCATTGTTTTGGGCTGCCCTTACTCTTTTCCTTTACATTACCCATTAGCCATTGCATCATCATTTTTTTAGTCAGTGGAAGATGCATAGTAGGTACACATCATAGCAACATTTTCAGCTCCTGTCTAACTTGAGCAAGACACTTCAGAGTCAGCAACAGTGCTGCAGAAGTCCTAGAACCCTACAGAGCCTAACGGACGTCTCTCAAGAGCAGTCTTACGTGTGTACATATCCCCTTGCCATATCAGGCCTCCACACTCTATTGAAAAGTTGAAACCCACTCAGGGACAACAGCTAAAGTAGGGGAAAAAAAAAAAAAAAATCACTACTAGTTATTCAGCTTTAAACTCTGGTTTTGAAATCCAAGCAGGATCATCCAGAGCGAGAAAGCCTCTTTAACTGGCAGCATAAGCTTACACCACTGCAAATAAACCCCCTAATTTTCATGCCCCCACTAATTAAAAAAAAAAAAAAAAACAAAAAAACCCAACTTTCCAGGAGAGAAAAATCTAGATCCTCAAAATTGCAAGGTAGCATGGACTATTTCCTTCTGTAAGGTGAAGAAGAAAGGAGTTATTTCTACTACTCCCCCACCCCTTTTAGTAGAATTATAACAGCAGATAACCATTAGCTTTGGAAAAGTATTTCTCAAACTTCTCATATGCTGCTTCAACACCACAGATCACATTCATGCGGCTATTAAACTTTGGAGAACATATTTCTACCCACAGTTCTTAGATCTCCTGATTATAGTTTTCCTCTCAGGCAAAAGTAAGGGCCCGTATCAACAGAAATAGCACATACTAGAGGACATTGGTTCGTAATTTCAAAAATAAAAATTACAAAGTTCTCCCACATTAGGGTAAAGTTGCCTCAAAGAGAAAACACAAGTCTGCCTTTACTCATGACAAACAGATGCTCATAATCAGACAAAGAAACATCCCTCCACTGCAGCAGCACTTTAAATAATCACTACTATCCACTTGTTAAAATGTTCTTAAAAAATATGTATTTTCTATCAAATGCATGGGAATACTAGGAGCAAAAACCAAGGGCTAAAAAGAAGTTTGCCCAGTTACTCATTTAACAGTGCACTGGCTGAATGTCTTGCTGGAAGAGGAGAGAGATTACTGTCAACAGAAGAAGCAGGCACAAGTTTTCTGAAGTTCACAGAAAGCATTCTACTAATTTACAACAAAAAAATGAAGCTAGCATGAGATTTGTTTCAAAATAATAAAAAATCAAGTATGAAGACATATTCAAACATACACTTTCAATTCACGTTTGTGAAGAGTCTCAAAATAAGGGCACCATGAAGAAACATAATCATGTTAATAGGTGCCATCTCATTTTCATGTGTAGCCAACGTCACATTAAACTGGTACCACACCTACATTCACCTCTATGTATTTGTAATCTATGCAGGTCTCTAACAGGGGAAACAAAACAGAACAATGTATGTACATCGCCTATAGAAAATATAAAAGCTGGATAACTTTCCAGGCAGATTTTAAACAACACAATACTTACATCCACATCTAATAAACCAGTGGGGACATTTGACTCATATCTGCTTGTCCCTAACCAGCTGGAAAAACTTTTCTCAGGGTGCCCGTAGTTGGGCATCTGTAAACTTAGTTCTTTTTTTGCACTATCTGCTTGCATGTACTTCTCCACAAAACTCGGAAACTTCATATCTGAAAGAGACTGAATTGCAAAGTCAAAATTAACAGTCATTCAGCAGGTAGACAAAATTTTACATGGTTGCATTTCATGAATGATCTTTATTACCTCAGATTTTTGAGGCATGCCGAATGGCCCAGAAGCATCCTGTTGTAAAGGAGGCATCCCTGAGGAGTCAGTTGTAAAAGCTGCTGCAGTGTTATTTACTGAGGTGACAGAAGGATTAAAAAACTTTTCTTTAGATGTAGAAGACAGCAAGCTTGAGAAGAGGGAGCTTTTTTCAAGCCGGGATCTCTTAATTTCACCATCTGCACCATCAGTGTTCTCTTTTCCATTTAATTCCTGAGTAAAGGCAGGTTCCTCTCTATTACATGACTGCAGGGCTTTGAATATGATACTTTGCTCTGTTGATGCACGCTTGGGCCTGACTCTGGCTATCGTTTCCAGGCTTTGCATTTTAATTTGTTGGGCCGGTAACAGATCCTGTGTTTTTTCCCTCCTCAGTCCCAAACCAAAAGTAAATACACTAGGATCAAATACTTTCTCTAAGTTGTCTTCATGAATGGGAGGCATTGCGAAGTGGGGCGCCGGGGACTTGGGAAGCTTTGACCTTTTCTTTTTCTGGGGTAAACAAACTGAGCTGTCCAAGTTTTTTATTGTTTCAGCAAACTTCCTCATGTCGGATGGGGAATCAAAAATGCTGTCATCTTCAGCAGACCCATTACAAGTTTTGCCAGGGCTCTTTTGTGTATTGATGTTGTGCTCTGATACCAATATACCATCTTGACTGCTGTCATCGTACTGCAGTGCTGTAATGCTCAAATCTCCCAGCTTTGCCTTTTTCTCTCCATTTTCTATCTTCTTACACTCTGATCTAGAAACCTGACGAGATGGTAGAGGATATTTATCATCATTGCAAGGTGATAAAACCTCTGTGTTTGGCAACAACTTTTCTTCATTTCTGTGGAATTCTGAGCTCGTGTTATTTCTTTGGTAGGAAGTATCTTGAGCATTTTCACTTTTACTGGGCAAGTGCAAAGACAGTTTAAAAGGTGAAATTTCTTTTTTAGCTGTGGTCAATTCTGGATCAGGTTGCTTCAGAGAGATACTACTAGCATCAATTTTGCTGCTTTGGTTAAAAAGGGATATCGCAGCTTTTACTTTTAGTTCTGTTGTCTTCCCAATATCCTCACAAGAGGTAGAGCATTCTTCATTTTTGCCTTTTAATTCTGCAGCGCTTTCTTTCTCTGGTGTGCCATTCTCAAATAACTTCTGGCGACTGCTTTGCTTATTTAACGTTTTATCAGGCTGTTCACTTTCCTTAGGTTGTTTACCAAATTTGAGCTTTGCTCTGCCAACAAATGTGCTTGGTACAGTACTATTTTTTGAAGCAGGGATGTCAGTAGGCCTCTGGCTCTGGTTAGCGCATTTATTTTCAAACAAGGAAATTTTGTTGGCAATGTTGCTGTTAGTTTTATTAACTGGTTTTTCAAGAGTATCCTGCTCACTTTCTAAACTGTCTTGATTCGTAGGTGCTTTAAAATTCAGTTCTACATTCTTTGGTTTGGCTGGACTGCAGGAGGCAAAGTGATACAGAGTTACATCTTTGATTAATCTTGGAAAGACTTGTAACAATTATGAAAACAATAAAATGTAGCATTATAGTGAAATTTTCCATAGTCTTACTCGGTTTAAATTTTGGTATCTCAAAAGGCATTAACTAAAAAAGGAATAACTATATGAACAACAACAACAAAAAATTAACCACTAAATAAGGAGAATACATTTTAAATATGCACGTAGTTCCTTAATGCTCAGTGAAACAAAAAACATAGCAGCCTACAGCACCTGCAATTGAGGCAGAGAATTTAACTACTTATGACTGACAGACATTAAAATTTAATAGTGAATAGGCAGAATAAATTATACGCATGCAATTCCCTACAGAGTTTAGGAAACAAATCCCAATTCATTAAGGTGATAATGAGTTGGTTAACATTTGAATAATACCTCTCCAACAAGTTTTGAAGACATCTGCCCAGATTCTTTGCAGCCCTTACACCACAGAAGCAACCTTAAATCGAGTGAAAGATCTCTTCTGCCCTCATTCGTGCTGGTGGAAAACGTACCTGTCCCAAATCACTGCATCACCACTTGGCTAAGTGAACACCACAGGTGAGGACCCTCCCACTGCCTTCAAGTAAAGTCAGCTAACAACTTAAATTGTGTAAACTAACCCTGCTGATTTTACAAGAATTGAATCAGGAAACACTTATGGAAACTTCTCCATCAGAGTGGATGGAGGAGCGTCTACAAGTACATAGCACACAGGACTCTCGTACTAGGGCAGAAGGCTGATGACATGCAGCAGAGGGTTTTAAGCCTCCTGCCTCTGAATATCTACACCCAGGAAAAGCCATTTGTCCATGTCACTTGCTACTGCAGGAACAGCATGAACAGCTGTGAAGATGCAGGGCACATGTCTTCAAAATTTATCAGTCAGATATAAGGAGTATCAGGCAGCCCACCCTCGCCTCAAAGGCAGACCTGTTCTCCAAAGAGGAATCTGGAGACAGTCAGCAAAGGGAGAGCGGGCAGAAACTGCACCACATGAAAACTCATGATGGTGGGAGTTAAAAGAAAGTAGCTTGCAGCAACAATCTCCAAGGGCCTCGAATACTCTGTCAATCAATGGATGATTCTGGTATTTAAGTGCTTTCATTTTTACCTACACAAACTGTGTTCACTGAGCTCTCAGACAACTTTTTAGCCCAAGAAAGAACCGTGAGGTACAAGTGAGTTACATTAATAACCCCAAAACTGAGACCACTCCTTTTTCCTCTTTCTCAAGAAATCCATCCCAAGTAAGAAAGTAAACCATACTAAAGCAAGAGTCTCCATTGTACATGCTCCGCTTCTCGGGAAAAGCGTGCGGAACAAACTTACTGAAATAACAGAAGGAACCCAAAATCATCTGCCTAAGAATCTATACAGAAAGCAACTGTTAAAATCACCATGTCTTTTCAAAGAAGACTTCCCAACAGTGCCCACTGTAACCACCAGCCTGCTCACATTGGTTCACAACTGGAAGGTTCTCATGAAGAACATATGACCAATAAAAAAGGAAATAGTAAACTTGAAAAAAGACTGTCCATACTTCAGATAGGAGCTAATAAAACACACTTGAAAATTTAAGTCTAGAAACAGAAAAAAAATTGTTCCTGAAAAGTGGAGGGTAGGGAGGGAACTATCACACAGGATAAAATGAAATATATTTAGACCCCACTTTTCTTTTGCAGTACAACTGTTTTTCCTAAACTTTTCAAAGCAAACTATTCTACGATTTTTATTTTTGGAAAATTAATGTAAGTTGCAAGGGACATCTAAAGGTCAGGCAGTACAACTTCCTGCTCAAAACAGGGACATCTTCAAAGTTAGATCAAGTTGCTGAAGGCTTAGTTTGACCAAGTTCTGAGTATCTTCAAGGGTCAAGATGTCACAACCTTACTAGGCAAGCACTGCAGCAGGTCAGCCACTGTCACTGTGAATTATTTTTGTCTTATATCCCATTGAATGCACACCTCAGGGATGAATCTGAAGGCTCTGCCTTCTCTGTAGTACCTCTATAGGTGTGGTGGGTTGACCCTGGCTCGACACCAGGTGCCCATCAAAGCCGCTCTATCACTCCCCTCCTCAGCAGGACAGGGAAGAGAAAATGTAACAAGAAGTTCATGGGTTGAGATAAGGACAGGGAGAGATCATTCAGCAATTACAGTCATGGGCAAAACACTTGACTTGGGGAAATTAGTTTAATTTATTGCCAATCAAATCAGAGTAGGGTAATGAGAAATAAAACCACATCTTAAAACACCTTCTCCCCACCCCTCCCTTCTTCCCAAGCTCAACTTCACTCCCATTTTCTCTACCTCCTACCCCGAAGCAGCACAGGCGGATGGGGAACGGGGATTACAGTCAGTTCATCGCACGTTGTTCTTCTCACAGAAGCCACCCCTGTAGCACCCCCGCTACCAAAACCTGGCCGTGCAAACCCAATACAATAGGTAGCAAGAGATGATTGAGGTCTACCCATATCCTTCTCTCCGTTGAACAAATCAAGCTGCTCAAGCTTCACCTCATATATGGTATGCTCCAGAGCCATCACCTTAATGGCTTACCACCAGACTCATTCCAATTTGTGAAGATCTCTGTTGTACCGGGAGAAGAGAGTTGGAAGGGGAGGGAGTGGTACAATTCGATAAAATGCCCTAGATGCAGCCTCATGAGCACCGAATATCTTCTCCTCTGACGTGCTGGCTATGCTCCTGCCAACGTAGCCCAGTGTAGGCTTAGCCTTCATCTGCTACAAGGATGCACTACCGACACATGTTGAATTTGCTCTTCGCCAGGACCCTTCATGTCCTTTTCTGATCCGAAGAAGGTATTTACTCTGTCCTTCTACCTGTATTTTCAAAAGGCATCGCTAATGGCCTAGTTATCTTAAACCGACTCACTTCCATACCGTCCTTTTATCAGCCTGTCACTTGCACTACTACATGCATTTCAACATAACACATATCTTCCTAATAAAATCTGTATTGCCCTGTATCCCTTGACACAAGCAATGTAATGGTAAACACTGAGAGTTATCAGCCACGCCTAAAACCTGTTTTAAATGAACAGCTAAGACCTCAAAGGTATAGTTTCAAGCTTTGCAAATTTACGCAGAACCAACCACTCCAGCATTTTATATTTTACATTCTGCAGTATTTCTGCACAGCAGCAAAGCAGCTGAGGTGGACAGGCAACAGAAAGCTCAGCCCTGGAGCTCCAGCCACTACAGCTGGCCTTCTCATAACTAATCTTTTAATTACACTTTTTTCTACACTAAGAAATACTGATTTTAAATACAGCCAAAAGATGCATCTTATTGCAAGCACTGAGTTTCTAAGCTTGTTTAAAAGGAGGAGATGTTGTTTGAGTGTCTTTTAAGCCTGCTCTCTAGTATGGGGGAAAAACACTGAAAGGTGGATTCACTTAATGGTACAAACGCTTTCTTACAAACAGCCCAGCATGGCTGATTCCTGCCATCCCATTGCTGATCTGCAATGCCAGGCACAAGCAGGCACAAGAAAAATAGTGATGTCCTTCTCTTCAGTTACACCTTGAAGCTAGCCTGTGGAAGCAAGCAGTTAAACCTCTCCCAATATAGTCATAAATGGAAAGTGAGTCACATAGTTGAAGCATACTGTCCAAACAACCATGTCAAGCACATAACTGATGCCAAAACATCAAACTGGGGTGAGCAAAGAAAAATGGCATGTTAACAGAGCAGAATAATTCAACAAGTGGGCATAAATGCAAAGACAACTACAAAACCATGTCTGAACATCAAATATGACAACTGAAGCCAAGTTTCCCGCTAAGCACATCAAAGTAACTACTGCCTGAGGTTTTATTTGCTGATTAAGAGGGATCATCAACCTCAGGTTAGTCTCAAGCCTGATAGGTTTCCCCTTCAAAAGCTAGAAGCAAAGTATCCTGTGACTTCCAGGTTGCCCAGTATACAGACATAAAAGGAGAAAAGACAGAAAATGCTATCATTACTCACAGGGAACCAGCAAAACCGACTTCTTTTAAAATTGTTTCTAAAGAAACTTGATTCCCAGAATTGGCATAATGTCATTAGAAATAGACATTATGCCTTTTTAACTGAAAACTACTTTGATTATACAAAACTCATCTTATAGGAGGCAAATGAGTCTGTGAGTAAAGGACTACTTTTGAACCTGAAAGTGATTCATGCGAAGTATCTAACAGTAATTTTTTAACCTTTGAAAACGGGAAAGTTATCTGTTCTCTAATTCAAAGCAATAACAAGAGAACAAAAACACATGCCCTTCTAGTAATGGAACCATCTTTTCCTTTCCCATTTTACAGCAGCTTAATCCACATGCAGGTTTACAGTTCCTGTGTGTGTTGGGTTGACCCTGGCGGGACGCCAGGTGCCCACCAAAGCTGCTCTATCACTGCCCTTCTCAGCTGGACAAGAGAGAGTAAATATAACAAAATGCTTGTTGAGATAAGGACACACCAATTACCGTAATGGGCAAAACAGACATGTTGTTTCTGCCACTCCTTCCTCCTC